CCCCCCCCCCTCGTGTCGCCGCGGCCGAGTTGCCCGCTGGAGCTGAAGCAGTTTTTCTAGGGGGGTTGCTGGAGCTGAAACTTTGTCTACCGGGTTGTTGTCACTGATCCAAATGGGGGGGGAATGCGCTGTAGCAACCCTACTTCCAGCACCTGTGGCAATCCCCCCGCCCGCACCCCAGCGTGACTGCAGTCCAGTTGTGTCCGTTTAAATCGATCTTGTCGGGGCCGCTCACCCCCCCCCCCCTTCGCTGAAAATGTACGTGAGACTAATCCAGTGTGTCACGGCTTGGGTTCGTCCTGCTCCACACCTGCAGTGGAAGGTAACAAGGCCGTTAGTGTTCTCTTGCCTACCTAACCCATCTGCTGAAAGTTATTCAGAAAAATATTGTGGTGGTTTCTGCTTGTAATCTGCCTGTAAACTGTATGTGGTACAACTATTGGCTTGAAGTTTTGTCTTTAGTGCTTACTGTGTTTCAATTTATGGTTCACCTTTAAAAGTATAGTAATAGAGATGTAGCCGTGTTAGTCTGGGCTAGCTGAAACAAATGACAGGACTGTGTAGCTCTTTAAAGACTAACAAGATGGTTTATTAGGTGTCTGAATCTGTGTAAGTTTTTTCATAGGGTTGATGGATTTCCGTTCCAAACAGCTAAATAATAAACCATCTTGTTAGTCTTTATAGTGCTACCTTTTAAAACAAAAGACAGGACTATGTATCTGCTTCTTGTCCAGTTGATCTGTTTGTTTAAGTTGTATTTGAAACGAGTAAATGTTAGCCAGAACTAGTAGTCAACAGATGTAAATCAGGACAAAGTAAAGCAAGAATCCATAAACAGTATAATCAGAAGTACATGATGTTCTCAAACTATGTAGTACTTTTTGTTGAGGATCTTGGTTTCTTCCAATTTTTTATATCCGTTATGTTGAAAATACATTTTAAAAATGAGTAAAAAATAATCCTGGAGGTCTGTTTGTGGTATTTAAAGTCCCAGTTCTTGTACTGGAAAAGATAAATGTATCATGTTGTTGTGATATGAAAGGATACTTTCATCATGATCGTGAATGTTGATGGGTATTCTGTGCAATTCTGTTAAGATTATTTTGTTGGTCAGAATTGTCTTTTTTGTCACAGAAACTATACTGCCATCTTTTTCAGACCGGCTCTCTTCCATATCTTCATCAATGATTTAGATATTGGCATAGAAATTATGCTTATTAAGTTTGCAGATGATACCAAGCTGGGAGGGGTTGCAACAGCTTTGGAGGATAGGGTCATAATCAGGGCTTGACAATCTATGTAATCTACTTGCCTGTTGGTGAGTAGATTACATCCCGAAAGAGCCAGGTTCGGGCAATCTGAACATGCGCAGAACGCCGGACGGCACGGCTGGTGTGTGGGGCTCGCTGCAGCTCAGCGAGCCCTGGTCATAATTCAAAATGTTCTGGACAAATTAGAGAAATGGTCTGAGGTAAACAGGATGAAGTTTAATAAAGACAAATGCGAAGTGCTCCACTTAGGAAGGAATAATCAGTTTCACACATACAGAATGGGAAGCGACTGTCTAGGAAGGAGTACAGCAGAAAGGGATCTAGGGGTTGTAGTGGACCACAAGCTGAATAAGAGTCAGCAGTGTGATGCTGTTGCAAAAAAAGCAAACATGACTCTGGGATGCATTAACAGGTGTGTTGTGAGCAAGACACGAGAAGTCATTCTTCCGCTCTACTCTGCCCTAGTTAGGCCTCAGTTGGAATATTGTGTCTAGTTCTGAGCACCGCACTTCAAGAAGGATGTGGAGAAATTGGAGAGGGTCCAGAGAAGAGCAACGAGAATGATTAAAAGTCTAGAGAACATGACCTATGAGGGAAGGCTGAAAGATTTGGGTTTGTTTAGTTTGGAAAAGAGAAGATTGAGGGGGGACATGATAGCTGTTTTCAGGTATCTAAAAGGGTGTCATAAAGAGGAGGGAGAAAACTTGTTCATCTTGGCCTCTGAGGATAGAACAAGAAGCAATGGGCTTAAACTGCAGCAAGGAAGGTTTAGGTTGGACATTAGGAAAAAGTTCCGAACTGTCAAGGTAGTCAAACACTGGAATAAATTGCCCAGGGAGGTTGTGGAATCTCCATTTCTGGAGATATTTAAGAGTAGGTTAGATAAATGTCCATCAGGGATGGTCTAGACAGTATTTGGTCCTGCCATGAGGGCAGGGGACTGGACTTGATGACCTCTCGAGGTCCCTTCCAGTCCTAGTATTCTGATTCTTTATGCCTTTACTTGTTTACTATGGTGATAATCATGTAATTTCAGGCTGTGTGTAAGTGTAATGTTATAGTGAGCTGACATTCATAGAATCGTAGAGCTGGAAGAGACCTCAGGAGGTCATCAAGTCCAGCCCCCTACCCAAGGCAGGACCAATCCCAATTAAATCAACCCAGCCAGGGCTTTGTCAAGCCAAGACCTAAAAACCTCTATGGATGGAGATTCCACCACTTCCCTAGGTAACCCATTCCAGTGCTTCACCACTCTTCTAGTGAAATAGATTTTCCTAATATCCAACCTAGACCTCTCCCACTGTAACTTGAGACTATTGCTCCTTGTTCTGCCATCCATCACTACTGTGAACAGCCTTTCTCCATCCTCTTTGGAATCTCCCTTCAGGAAGTTGAAGGCTGCTCCCAAATTCCCCTCCCCCCCCCCCCCCCCCCCAAAACACACACTCTACTCTTCTGCAGACTAAACAAACCCAAATCGCTCAGTCTCTCCTCATTGGTCATGCGCTCCAGCCCCCTAATCATTTTGGTCGCCCTCCGCTGGACACTCTCCAATGTGTCCACATCCTTTCTATTGTGGCAGGGCCCAGAACTGGACACACTATTCTAGATGCAGCCTCACTAGAGCCAAATAAAGGGAAATAATTACATCTCTGGATCTGCTGGCAATGCTCCTCCTAATGCACCCCCAATATGCCATTAGCCTTCTAGGCTATAAGGGCACACTGTTGACTCCTATCCATCTTCTCATCCACTGTAATCCGCAAGTTCTTTTCTGCAGAACTGCTACTTAGTCATTCGGTCCCAAGCCTGTAACAATGCTTCGGATTCTTCCATCCCAAGTGCAGGACTCTACACTTGTCCTTGTTGAACCTCAGCAGATTTCTTTTGGCCCAATTCATGGAGTGGGAATTTGGATAAATCTTGCATGTATAGAAAAAGTACACGTATGCTAGCAGAGATGTATAGTTAGTTTTCAGTATATGTATAGTTCAAAGGGATAAAGTCCTTCTCCAACAGTTTCATTAGGGTAAACTTGAAATTTTATTTCCTCTTTCTCGTCAGCAGCCTACTGCACGTGTGCCGTAAGTGGCACATGAGCCGTTTTTTTTTTCTCAGCAGCATGCGGGATGGGAGCTCAGCTCCTCCCATTCTCCATGCAGCAGGTTAGGTTGCAGTGGGAGGAGGTAGCACTGGGGCTGATCACGTGGCTGCAGCAGTGGGACCTCCAGGGCTGGCAGCTGTGGCAGCAGTGCCTCTGGGGCCAACCCAGGCCACGGCAGTTGTTGCAAAGGGCCCAAAGCCAGGTAAGCATCCAGCCTCATGCCCAGGCCCCCACACCCTAATCCTCCTCACTCACTCACCTCCCCCTCTCCTGCTAAGACCCCACACTCCCAAATTGCTTTGACACTTTCCCTTGTTCCTGCACTCTCCTTCTTGGGCAGACACTCTACCCTGTCCCGCTCCTGTACCCTCCCCTCTGATCTGGCCAGACACCTACCCTGACCCTGCTCCTGCATCCACTGTTGCTCCTGCACCCTCCCTCCTGGACACACACTGCACCCTCCCTTGTTGCTGCTCCCTCTACCTGGCCAGACACCCTACTCCCAGTCTGCTTCTGCATCCTACCTCCCACCCAGACCTCTCAACCTCTCCTCCTTCTGCACCCCACGTCTCTTTCAGATCCTGCACTCCCTGGCAGCCCTGTCTCTCACACTGCAACCCTCACTTTTCTTCCTACCACAGAGCCGAAGGGGGTCCATAAAATCCACTAATTCCAGCACTCCAGAAAGGTAAATCTGGCCTATGGGAAACCATGAACCTCTGCCCTCCCTGTCCCTTCCTCTCTCCCCGTGGGGCTGGAGCACTAGAGGAGTAAGGTGTCTTAGTTGGGGACCACATCAGTGAAGGTTGGCGGGGGGAGGGGGGATTTGAAGGAGTTTTTTTGCTTTTTACTTGTGTGGTCCCCAACTGATTTTTCTGTGGGCCAGTGACCCTGACCCAAAAAAGGTTCCACAATCATGCCATAAATAAAGAAAACATTGAAACCTTTTGTGTTGGACATAATATTTTACTTAGCTTATCAAACTTAATTTTAAATGTGAGAGAGTTAAAACGCTTAATCTGTTTAATAATTTAAATTAAACTCTTCTCCTTAGTTGCAGCTGGTTCAGAAAATATGGTCCCTGTACCTACCCTGCCCCTGTATTAGCCATGTTAAAATTGGATTAATTAACTAATTGAATAGTTAATAGAATTCCCATCAACTATTCGATAGTTGATAAGGGCATTTCTTGCTTTGAAATGTAGCAAGAGCCTGCCTGGCTGTTGCTACATTTGCCAGGCGAAAGTGCCCTGCAGCATTCCTCCTTTGAAATATACAAGAGCCCCAGCCTGGGCTTTTGCGTATTTCAGCAGTGAAGTGCCGCTGTGCTCCTGCCCCGGCCCATGGAACTGGAGCTGGGGGAACTGACTTTTAAGGTGGCTCCCCCTCTTTTCTCTCCCTCCCCCTACCCCTTTGCTGCCTCTTTCCGATAGAGGCAGCAAGTGGGGGAGTGACCAGTGTGTCGAGTATCCGATAAGCTTTTGCTTATTGAATAGTTAATTCTCCGGTTAGTCCTTTACATCTCTACCCTGCTCTCCCCTGCCCCCACCCCCCCTCCTTTCTCCCCCCAGCACGCATATCCGTGAATGTTTTGAATCTTGGCATGCCACTTCTGAAAGGTTGCCAACCCCTGATCTCCAGAATATTGCATCTCAGTTACAATGTTAAAAAAAAATCTGTCTTGTAGTAGTGCTGTTTTTTTTAAATACTCTTGTTTACATTTCACCATCACTATAACTGCTTACAGCTTTTGATTGACTCATTCAGAGTATTAGGATACATAGTCCCTGTAAATTGTACTAGAATTTGATATTTAGGGGAGAGGAACACATCTTATGGCATAGTATAAATTATAGTTTTAAAAATAAAAATGGCAGTAACTAACCACAATAGACCACTGTTCATTTCTCCTGTTTTACTCAATTTTATTCTTTGTATCCTGGCACTAAATTCATAGATTTTTAAGGCTGTGGGAGGCCACTATCACCATCAGAAGTATATGAAAGTATGATTTTAAAATCATGATTATAAAGCATAGTTCTATACAGACCACTTCTTGACTTGTAGAATACATATCCAGTTAGTCCACCTGACATATATGTATAAATAACAGTGTAGACAGTGAGACATTGTGTAGGTCAGTGGCTCTTAACCTTTCCAGAGTACTGAACTGCTTCTGGGAAATTAATTTGCCTTGCTTACCCCGAGTTTACTTTTACCTAAACTACTTGCTTAAAAAATGAAACATAAATCAAACACAAAAATACAGAAGGATCAAAATTGCTTACTTTCTCAGTTTTATAATTTTATATAATTATAAATTCAGTTGGAACACAATTATAAATTCAGTTGCATATTGATGTATAGAACTATACAATTATTATCTGTATGAAATTTTAATCTGTGCTAGGGATATGAATGTTTAATCAGTAAGCCTCACCCATTAGAGTGAGGCTTAACGGTCAAGGTTAACCAGTGAGTGCTGGAGCAGTTCCCTGCCTACTAACTGCAGAAGGCTGCTCCAAGCCCCATGTGGGCTGCCATGGACAAGGGCTGCTTCAGCCAGGATGCCAGAGCAGCCCCTGCTTATGGTATGGAAGGAGGGCACTACACTGCTATTTATACTAGGGATGCAAAAGTGTAAATGTGTACATGGGTACATGCACTCCCCCTACCTCCCCTCCTCCCCCCAAACAATGACACTGCCTCTGCATCAAAGGCCGCAGTGTCAGAGGGACAGGTGGGAACTATTGTCCCAGAGGCTGCAGCATGGGACAGGAGCCAGTGCATGCTCCAGAATCAACTTAAAAGACAGCTCCCGCTGAGCTGCCTGCCCTGTCCCTCCCTTTCCTCCGCTCCCCCGCCAGGAGGGGAGGCAGGAGCTGGTGCTCAAAGGTAGTCAGCTTTTAATATGGCTCCTGGCATGCAGTGGCTGCAGCGTTAGGAACATGGGCAGCAGCCAGCTCCCCAGAAGCCGGACCACAAAACACTTGTAATCATTTGGGTAACCGATAAGCTCATGCTTATTGGTTACCCATTTAAATAGCTACACTCTTATGTCCCTACTAGAAAAAAAATTCCTGGCTTTTCAGTGGCTATGCAGCACTTATTTTTGTCTCTTAAATGTTATGTTGGATTTTAGGCCTGTTACTGGTTAGTATTTTTGGGGAGGTGATGGAGAGACATGTTATACAGATTCACGTTTGAGTATAGAGTGTCTCAAATGCTTATTTTTCTTTCCTTGTCTACAGTAAACAGAATATCAAGGATTAAGTTCCTCTCCCAAATAGAAGCTTCTATTTACAAGAACAGAAATTTATTTTGAGCATTTTTGTCTTGTTTACAAATGACTGAAATTCTTCAATAGTTAGTTAGCTGTATAGATGTGCAAAGGACTGCATTATTAGTTTGTGAAAACTAATAATTTGTTATATTTAAAAGAGCTTACAGTTGGGCTGTGATATGAGCTCAAGTTTACAGCACCTCAGACACACAACTAGATGAACAGAAGAACTACAACTGCATAATCACCTTCCATTGTCTCTAGGGTAATACAGTTCCTTAGATTAGGGCAGAGGATAGAGATTGGGCAATATGCTGCCTATACCACTTATCTGTACATGTTTCATAAAACAAAGGTTGTAGTGTTTTAATTGCTATTAAATGTGTTTTCTTAGGTGTAGAGAAAATCCTGAAACTTCCACTGGAGGATCATATGCTCTGTGACATACACAAGTAACAGGCTTAACTTTTTTGCTTGGTCTGTCAAGCGCACAGAAGCGGCTCTTCGTTATTTTAGTAAGTGTAGCTTTTTAACTAAAATGTTGTCATTATACTACCATTTACTGATCAATCTTCAACATAAATAAGAAGCACCCTTCCCTGAAAGGGATGCCGTCAAGGAATTCGATGGAATGATTTTCAAATCTCACCCCTTAACCAACATAGCTATGGTGGCAAAAGTCTTACTGGAGATGCAGTTGTATTTTCAAGTAAGTCCTTACACCATTATAACCTTTCTTGTTCAGGGAACTGTAAAAGCTAGACTAGCAAAAGAAATGTTGCTGGTATAACCTGTCTCCTGTTAGGTGGATTTTTTGCTATACCTCTGTCTATCTAGGGCTTCAGTTACTGTCCAATAGCTGCTAATTCTAAATTGTAGCACTTCTCAGAACAACACTCATTTTGCAATATTGTTTTCTTAGCCGCGAATGTAAGAGGCCTGTAGAAGAAATCACTCTGATTCTTTAAGGGACAGTGACATCAGGTTTGCAAGAACAAACAAGTTTTAAACTAGAGATGTTAAAAAGCTTTACACGTAGGAGGAGGCAGCTCCCCAAGAGCCGGTGTACGTGGGGAGCTGCCTTGTGTCAGAGGCAGCAGCGTGGAGGTGGGGGGCAGGCGAGAGCCAGTGCTTGCGGGAAACCTGCTTAAAAGTTGGTCCTCTTTTTTCCCTCCCCCCTCCCATCCCACTGCTGCACACTGGTTCCTGTCTCCGCTGCTTTCCCTAGAGCGGGGACAGCCTGCATGTAAAAGTGTAACCAATGAACCTGGGCTCATTGGTTTACAGTACAGGCAGTCCCCGAGTTACGCGGATCCAACTTATGTCGGATCCGCAGTTACGAACGGGGCTTTTCTCGCCCCAGAGGACGGGAGCGGCGGGATGCCCAGATGCTCCGCGGTCCG